GAGGGGGGAGAGGGGTTGTCAGTTGGATGCTTGTCTGGAAGTTTGCGAGGATAAGTGAGAAGTTCCCTAAGAGACAGGAAAGCACATAAAACTTATAACCTGTCCAAAGGGGTGTGTATGTGTATGTGTGTGTGTGTGTGTGTGTGTGTGTGTGTGTGTGTGGTGTGTATTGAGCAATTAACACTAATGTCCTGCTAAGTCACTAAAGACCTCCACTGACTCATAATCTGGCTGACACCCAGGGTTTCCAAAAAATAGGGGCTTTCCAGGAGCCCCTTAGAAGCAAAGACAACAAGATCCTCTCAGTTAGAATGGCCACGTAACCAGTCGCTCACTCCCTTAAGCTCCAGACACAGTGTCAGCCATGCAACCAGGCACAACCACCCACAATTGTTGGCTCTGCCTGACCTCCAGCAACCAGTTCAGAGCCCAGAACTCGGTCACAAGTGTCCGATCAGGGCTGGGGAAGCCTGGGGAGACTGGGAGGCAGCAGGACTATACACAGCTGAGAGCCTGGCTACCCTATTCTGCAATGCCCATCTAGGCCTGGGGTCCATCTCACTCCTGAGGAAAGGAGGAAGGAATCCTGGGTTTCTGATCAGTTCTGCCGGGTGCAGAAAGGTTAGTTTGAACGGGCTAGGAGGTGGAAGGTGTGGGCGAGGTTCCTCCACTGTGGAGTTTGTACACACCCTAGTTCAGTGGGCCAAGAGCAGTCAGGGATTCCCCTCTCAGGCTGCTCAGACATGTGCAAAGGGAACAGTTTGTCTAATCCTAGGGCCGACTCAAGGACAGAGACCTGGGGGAGAGGAGGAAGTGGCTGTGTTAGGGCAGTGCTGGGACTGTGAGAGGCCCACTCTCTTACTCTATCCTGGAGGGAACAAGGGGAGGGGGTTTCTCACCTTCCCCCCTGCCCCAGTGAACAGGAGAGACAGAGTCCCATTTAATAGAAACCTGGGCATCTAGCCTTTTCCATCTTTCAGCCTCTTAGCCACGTTTGCTCAGATAATGTGACCCTCAAACCTTCCGGCCCTCAGCCTGTCCCCTGAGCACTGATCTAAGACCTTGAGGCATCTCCGATGGTTCAAGGGCCCACTTTAAGGCCTGGAGAATCCCAGGGCCACTTTGGGGAAGGGCTGTGCACTTTCTGGCCTACTATCCAACCCCCTCAAGTCCCTCCAGTGGTTTCTGGATGGGGAAAAGGGTGGGGATCGTCTCCGAGAATCAAGCTGGACATAAGGTCTCTTTCTAGCCCTACCCAACCCCATTGCTGTCCCACCCCATCTTCAAAGCCACTGTTTGGAACGTGAGAGAAGTGGGGTTCAGATTCCATCAAGAAAGGGGACCCTATGACCGCCGTTGGGATCCTGAGTCAGGGATGACTGCTGTCCCGTGTCCTGGCTTGGGGTCATTTTCCTGGTGCTCAACACTCTAGCTCCAGTCAGAAGCGGGGCCCTAAGAGCTCCCGGACCTCCGCCTCAAGTTTGGGACCCTCCCCCCAAGCTTGGGGCCCTCTGCACTGGCCTCTGTCTTCAAGAAGTAGAGCGTGGAAGCGGAGAAACCCAGGAGTCCCTCCGCAAGGGGACCCCGACCCAGGACTGGGACCTGGGGTGTGTACTGGGAAGCGGCCACGGTCCAGGTTCTGCCCCTGGCTTAACGTGGGCACAGCTATCGGGGCTCCGTGTCTTTCCTCTACAAAACCAAGGGTTCTCTTCCAGCGGAGCGCCCGCGCCTGACA